TTATTTACCTTCTTTTCTTTGTGTGGTTGATATGTTATCCAACTAAGCATCTGAAATAAACTATCCAAAACAAATCGTTATCCGATAAAACTGTCATCTGAAGAAACTAAAGATATGAGCGGACAGGAATGGACCAAAATTTTACAACCATGGTTTTAATTGGATTGACAATTTTAGTCCGCCATGGACCATGACCGACTGTTTGTCCATCCCTAATATTATCATTGTTTTTGTAGTTATCAAATCATCCTTTAATGAAATAATGATAGAAACAGATACCTTACTTACACTTGAATTAATTGAACTTCAGATGCATTCAACCTTTAATAAAAATTGTTAATGAATCACAAAAAAATTAAGTAACTAATTGTTAATGCAAATATATATATATATATATATATATATATATATATATATATATATATATATATATATATATATATATATATATATATATATATATATATATATATATATATATATATATATATATATATATATATATATATATATATATATATATATATATCAACCCATTAAAAATCAATTGCATGAACTCTCTAAATTACTCTTTCATTATAAATTTTTCACACAAACAAAAGAACATTTAAGTAATCAATTAATCTTCACATTTTATCATTCTCATTTCTCATTAAAACTTTGTCACATATCCAATTTTATATTATTCATTTCTTACTTTTTACTTTTTACTTTCTAACTTTTCTTTTTCTTCCTTTCATTCAAATTTTAAATTTTTTCAACTTTTTTTTCTCCCACTTTCACTTTCATTTTGACTTTACTCCTCTCCATTTTCTTTTTCCTATTTTATTTTTTTAAGCATAAATAAAAAATTTTAAACCTCTTTTTAATTTAATGAAAAAGAACATAGAAAAATGTTGATTTTTAAAGCACAAAATTTATTTAAAATAAAAATATAATGATTTTATAATTATTATATAAAAAATATATTTATAATTTATATGATTATTGTTCGTTTTATAATAAGTAACTTATTTGAAATTTATTGGATAATATTCAATAGCAGTGCATGCAACTAACTTTCCATTTTATAGGTTACTATAAGGACAATATATATTTTATTTTAATTAACAAATATCTTTATTTGTCCGTCAATTTTTTTTTTTAATTTTCAAATGTGATTTTTTTTTTCTTTCTCCATCTCACGGATCTTTTATCTATATGATTATTTAATACAATTGAGTTTGTATGATCATTGTTCATTTTACAATTAAGTAACACATTATAAATTGACATATATATCTAAAAATATTTTATATTGTATTAAATTGAATATCACTCAATAATTGCGCACAACACTAACTTTTTATTTCACGGACCACTATCAGGACAATATCTGTTTTATTTTAACAAACAATTGTCTTTAATTGAGAGATAAATTCTTTATTTTTAAATATGAAAATATTTTTCCAAATTTTTTATTTATTTTAAATTTACATATATATCTAAATACATTTTATACCGTATCAAATAAATTTATCCATTTGAGTATCTTACTAGTATATATATGATGGATGAATCTAAAAATGATATATCCTACTAAAATGTAATTTTCACGTGAGAAAATGAGAATGAATCTGAATCGCTAAATTTAAAATGAAATGGTAAAGATTTTGTGTGCTTTTTATTTTTTATTATTAAAATAAATGATGGATGAGAGAGAGAAAACTGACAAATAATCACCACCATTTATTTTAAAATTTAATAATTCAGATTCATTATCATATTTTCATATAAAAGTGACATTATCATATATATATATATATATATATATATATATATATATATATATATATATATATATATATATATATATATATATATATATATATATATATATATATATATATATATATATATATATATATATATATATATATATATATATATATATATATATATATATATATATATATATATATATATATATATATATATATATATATATATAATCTTCAACATTCAAGCAAATTACCATTAAGAATCACCATCTTATAATGTAGAAGAAAATAAATAACCAAACATAGATGAATGATCACAATGGCGAACTCTTTGAGGAGTGAAAACATTCTTTCACGGATTTTAAAAAGGTGGAAGGTTGAGTATTTTATATAAAATTAATGAGGAGGTTATAAGTAGGCTTTTTATATCAATTTAATTTTCAGACACTAAAAATAGTTTAAATTACATTAAAAATATTTATTAGAGTACATTCAAATCTGAATTTTATTTATATATTTTTCTTTAATTTAATTTTTGTTTAAATATTTTTGCGTGTTTAAAATAAAATTAATATCAATTTATATTTATTTGATTTTTTTATTTTAAAATTTGGTTTAATAGTAATTATTAAAGAATTTAATATTTATTTTTAATGTTTAGATATTAACATTATTTTTGTGTATTAGTTACAATTTTAGTAGTATTTAAATTGAATATAAAAAAAAAGACAGAATTAACAAATGTAAGAATTAATGTTCTGAAAATGGAGAGTTTTATTAAGAGTCAATTTAATGAAAATTTTATGGGATGTAAAGTCAAATAATAACTCTAACCATAATCCAATCGCATTTGGTACTTTATCTACCTAATGTATTACTACCTCCCGCTCATAATAAAAATTGTGATACATAGAATTGTTCTAAATTTTTGGGATGTCTATCCAAAAAAACTTAACACTTGCAGTTATTATGTTTGAGTTAATTATTCTTGGAGTTATTTGTAAATGTAAGACTTTCTTATTTTTTTTTTTGGATAGTTGAAGATTATAATCGGATTGAGGTACTCCTAGTACCCTTATTGTTATACTCTTTCCGTTTTAAAATGACGATCGTTTAATATTTTTGCACACAAATTAAAAAATGCAATAGTGTAAGAAATAATAATTATAAGACACAATTATTCTTATTAACATGTTAAAAATAATGTATAGAGTAATAGTTATAAGACAAAATTAGAAAAATAGCAATTATTACTACTTTGAAAAGTGAGAATGACATTTATTTTAAAACAAAAATTTTAATATAACAACTTCAAATATAAATTCAAAGGCTAAGATATTGATAACCATGGATAATGGTGAAAATATTAATGTAACTAATTCAAATATAGTTTATCATTATGATAAATAATGTAATACATTTACAAAAAATTAATAATTTAACTCTTTAAACATTTAAAATAGATTAATTTTCATTTAAACTCATGAAAACGCCTGGCGCACCGTGCGGAACCTATGTCTTGCGCACGCTAGCCCGATCCATAATACTAAATTGAATCCAATGAAGTAAGTTAAGTCTTGCCAAATTAAATGTTTTCTTGTTGTATTTTTGTTTTTTTTATATATAATATAATTTTTTGAATTTTAAATATATTATATTTTCCCCAAAAATGTTTTTTTATAAGCCAGATACTCATTTCCCAAGAATGCTGTGGTATAGTACTTGCAAGAATAATAGAAAGTGATTCTGAAATAGAGTAATATTATCAATGATGTATTAATTGTTCTTCAATTGTCTCAATTGTTTTTTTTTTATAAGCATATAATATAAAAAGAGATTACGAAAATCTCAAACCAACAAGAATACAAGCACGTCCAAAGTCAAAACTCTTACAAAATGTCGAACGGGAATTTAAACCATTCATACAATCTACAGTGATTACTCTCCTCTCTTCCTAAAATTAACCAATTCCACGAGGAAAATTTAATTTCGAAAACAATGTCATCTTCTTCAATGGTTTCATTATTGAATATTATGTTATTTCTAGCCCTCCATATAATCCAACAAGAAATAAACCATATAGAATTGATCTTGTTTGCTTGACACCGGCCCGTAAATCTCTAGTTCCAAACCTTCGCATGAAGATTACAACAAGCATTCGAGATGTTCTCTATATCCACCCAGTCGCAAATTTTTTTCCAAACCAACGAGGATTTGGTGCACGTGAAGAAAAGGTGGGAGACGTCCTCGTAACTCCGCGTACAGAATGCACAATCCAAATATTGGGAATTATCAATCACCCTTCTTTTCATCAAATTAGATCTAGTAGGCAGCCTATCAAGCGCCATCCTCCAACTAAAAGTTTGAACTTTTGCCGGTAACACCGTTTTCCAAAGGATCTCCAGAAGGGTTGCACTATCATTTCCAATATCATGAACAGAGGAAGATGAGGTTAAAGCAGAATAAAAAGAGCTAACCTTATATGATAATGAGTCGTGAAGTAACCACTTCCAGTTATCGGCGTCATTGTTGTTAACTAAAACTTGTTCCAACAAATTACGATAATCAGTCCATTCTGGTTCTATAGGGGATCCTGCGTCAACCAATGTTTCTCTAATTTTCCAAACCCACTGCTCGTCCTCCCAAGCTCACATCTCACTGACGGTCGATGCCTTCCTGGAACAACCCTGAAACAGCCGCTGGAATCTACTTTTAAGCGGCAAATCTCCAATCCAATTTGATTGCCAGAACACCGCACCATGACCTTTTCCAACAGAGCAAGCCGTGAACTTGCAGAAGTCCACATGGAGGTCGTAGATAGAGCTTGACAGAATATCCTTTATCCAAAGAGAATCAGATTTCAAACTACCAACATCGACAAAAGTTTGCACCTTAATACTCAAATTACCATATCTGAGAGTGATGGTATTCCTCCAAATTTCATTTCCACCGCTTTGAAATCTCCACATCCATTTTTCTATAAGAGCACAATTAAAGCGACCTACGTGTTTAATTCCAAGACCTCCGTGATCCTTCGGTTTCCAGATTGAGTTCCAAGATATCCAAGAGATGAACTTTTTTACTAGAATTCCCAGCCCATAAAAACCGTTGTTGGATTGTGATAATTTCGTTCACAACTTTCTTGGGAGCCTTGAAGAAAGCCAAGTGATGAATAGGCATATTAACTATAACCGAATTAATGAGGGATACTCTACCTCCCATTGACAAATTTCTCCCAGCTCAATTTGATAGCTTACTCCTCAGGCGAGACAGTACTGGGTTCCAAAGGGAGTGACCGCGATGATTTCCTCCAACCGTAAGACCAAGGAAATAGAACGACAGTCTGCCGGATTTATAGTGCAGAAACTCTTCAGCAGCTTCAAGATAAGCAGGATCTAATCCTATCCCATATAGACAGCTTTTTGAGAAATTAATTTTTAGAGCAGAAATTAATTCAAACGCACGCATAACAGCCTTGAATGCCCAAATATTTGTAACCGAACCATCTCCTATAAGCAGAGTGTCGTCGGCAAACTGAAGCATGCTCACAGTGGCTTGATCATTAATTTTTAAGTCTGTTATCAAATTACCGGCAACCGCGAATCTCATCAAACAAGACAGATTCTCTGCTACGATGGCGAACAGAAACGGAGCTAAAGGGTCACCCTGCTTCAGCCCCCTTCCAACCTTAAAATCCTTCGATGGACTTCCATTAATTAGAATCGACATGTAGCTTTTGAACACAGATCCATGAATCCATTTTAACCAATTAATGCCAAATCCCATCTTAACAAGCAATCCATCTAGATATGACCAGTCAACACAGTCGTAAGCTTTAGTGAAATCGACTTTAAAAAACAGACATTTCTTGTTGAACCTCTTAGCATAGTCTGATATTTCATTGGTTAATTGTCTCCATTGTTGATGGTTACGTCAAAATGTAAAAGGTGCACCAAAATTATATATGGGTGCAATGAGGTAAAATATTTCACTTTTGTTTACTTCTTTACTTAAATAAACAAATTTTTACCTTATTCATTATTTACTAATTTACTTCTTTGCCAAATCTAGGAAGAATACAATTATCTAGCAAATTTAAAGAATGACCGAAGGTATGGATAACCAATGATAATGCAGAAAGTAGCAACAACTTCAAACATAGTTTATGATAAATAATTTAGGACAATACATTTACAAAAACATTTTTATTTTCAGAGCCAACTTCTTTGTTTTTATGTCAATAATTTACTCGCACTGTCCCATAACGAGTGATTATGTTGACTTTTTACACAGATTAAAAAAAGAATAATAAATGAAATAGAGAATGATATTTTTACTAAAGTGCACTTATTATTATGAAAATAATATTAATTACAAGATAAAATTTAAAAAAAAATACATTGAAAATTAAAATCAGTCATTCATTTTAGAACATCCTTTTATTCTAAATGGATCATTCGTTGTATAATAGAAAGAATATTAAATTCATAGATATTAAAAAGTTATATTGTATATTTGCAATAATAATCATACATAACAGTCATATAACTAACTAATCATCTATAACCAACTATATATTAGTATCAACCACATTTTCATCATCAAATTTCGTTTGAGTTTTCGTGGCTTCCCGTTCACAAAGTCGTTTTAGATCGATCCAAAAATTTGGAAAGCAGCTCCAGAATCGATGTTATTCAACCCACCGGTTAATTCTGATATACTATCCAGAGACTCATTGCTAGCAAAGGTGGATACAATGGTTTGACCCCATAATAAGGAAATAGTTTTATTTAATAGTACTCTTATTAATTTTTTTAGCCCAAAACATCAACACAAAATTTATTGAATAACACTCTTATTAATTTTTTCCCACAATACTTGATTAAAGACATTAACTTTTATATATATATATATATATATATATATATATATATATATATATATATATATATATATATATATATATATATATATATATATATATATATATATATATATATATATATATATATATATATATATATATATAGATACCGCTCTAATCCAACTATATAATTTATTTGATTGTGTACAGAAATCCAAAAAATAGAATTAATCCCATCTTTCAAAGAGTTTCAAATTTGACAAATATATCTGGTCTCTTGCTCCTAATATCTTCGTCTAGAATTAATCCCATCTTTCAATGAGTCGAATCTAAAAAAACTAATATGGAGCTAATCTAAGATAACACTAAGTATATAAATAGCTAAAATTATCTTTCTTTTATTATAGTTACTTAAGATTTAACTATTGAATTAAATATGTTTGTGATTGTCCTAAATATCTTATATTTTATTTTAATTCTCTCAAATTCTTTTTTTAAAGAATGATCCTCTTAAAAGAATGTTATTCACACATTTGATTCCTCCTGCAACTTAACGACAATTTTAACAATGATTTACTACTTAGGAGCTGATTTAGCAAAAGTTTTAGTTATAGTTTTAATAGGAGGTACCAAAAGTGTGACGAAAATGTTTAAGAGAATCATTTTTTGAAGATTTTTTTTTTGAAAAATTAAAGCTGAAATATGTGATATTTAGAATGGTCACAAATATATTTTATTGTAAGTAGAATGAGAGAAACGGCAGACTCTTTGAGAAGTGAAAAAATTCTTTCACGATTTTTAAAGAGGTAGAAGGTTGAGAATTTTAAATCAAATAAATGAGGAGGTTATAAGTATGCTCTTTATATCAATTTAATTTTGAGACACTAAAAATAGTTTAAATTACATTAAAAATATTTATTTGAGTACATTCAAATCTGAATTTTATTTATATATTTTTCTTTAATTCAATTTTTGTTTAAACTTTTTTGGGTGTTTAAAATAAAATTAATATCAATTTATATTTCTTTGATTCTTTTATTTTAAATTTTGGTTGAATAGTAATTATTAAAGCATTTAATAATTATTTTTAATGTTTAGATATTATCATTATTTTTGTGTATTAGTTAAAATTTTAGTAGTATTTAAAATGAATATTTAAAAAAATAGAATTAACCAATGTAATAATTAATGTTCTGAAAATGGAGAGTTTTTTCAAGAGTAAATTTAATGAAAATTTAATGAGATGTAAAGTCAAATATTTTTAAGAAATTAGTATAATTACACATCAATAGAAATAAAGACAAAATTTATGAAAAATAATGCCAAATATGATAGTTATTTAAAATTTTTGAAGGATTAAATAAATCAAAATGTATATAAAAAACTAATCATTTTGACAATTGAAAGCCAAATATTGAAATTAATACATGTCAATTAAATTAGTATCAATGAATTTAAATATATAAATTGTGTTTGCGTGGTGAATGAATTTAGATAGACTTACTACACGCCTCAATCTTATGAAACTCGGTATCATCAATATTTCTTATGAGCGTGTATACATTTTTTAATTTAGCTTTGATGAAGATAGTTATCATTTATTCTTTAGTTGTTTTAAAATCAAAACTACCCGGAGATATATTTGTTGTTGGTTTGATGTGAAAAACATCGATATATAAGAGATTTGTGAACATATGTGGTCTTGGATAGATAAAGTTAGAGTTAAGATTTGGATACCTAATACGGTTAGATTATGGTGTATTATTTGTTGGAGCATTTGGTTTTCTATTAATCAAAATTTTTTTAAAGACGAAATTGGAAATTTAAAATTCGTAATACATAGAATTGTTCTAAATTCTTGGTTGTGGCTATCCAAAAAACTTAACACTTGTAGTTACTATGTTTGAGTTAATTATCTTTTGAGTTACTTGTAAATGTAAGACTTTCTTAATTCCTTTGGATAGTGGAAGATTATAATGGGATTGAGGTACTCTTACTATCCTTACTATTATACTTTCTAAGTTTCAAAATGAATGTTGTTAAAGTTTTTGCACACAGATTAAGAAATGTAATTATATTGTCATAAGATAATGGACTTTTATTAAATTAGTCTTATTAATGTGTTAAAAATAGTGTATTGAGTAATAATTATAAAACATAATTAGAAAAATAAAAATTGTTATAAATTTAAAAGTGAAAATGACATTCATTTTGAAACAATAATTTTTCTCTAAAACGACAATTATTTTAAAATGAAGAGAGTAGTAATTATATATATATATATATATATATATATATATATATATATATATATATATATATATATATATATATATATATATATATATATATATATATATATATATATATATATATATATATATATATATATATATATATATTAACTTTTTATAATTTAAAGGAAAATGTTATTCGTTCTCCATTTAGATTCAATTGAATTGAAATAAATTGTATTCAATGCATTTCAATTCAATAAATCAATAATTTAACTCTCTAAACATTTAAAATAGATTAATTTTCATTTAAGCTCATTAAAACGCCTGGCACCTATCCATAATACTAAATTGAATCTAATAAAATATGACACCTATCCATAATAGTAAATCGAATCTAATAAAGTAAACAACGTCTTACCAAATTAAATGTTTTTTTGGTACTATTTTTAGTTTTGTTTAATATAACAGAATATAATCTTTTGAATTTTAAATATATTATATGTTGTGGTGTAGTACTTATAAGAATAATAGAAAGTGAGTCATTACTAAAAAATTAAATTTAGAGAGGGTATAATTCCGTCACTAATTCACTAAAATTCTCTCACAAAAACATTTAGTGACGGATTTAGCGACATACATATATTCGTACCGTATTTCAATGTCGCAAATAATTTGTGAGATATTTTAAATTCCGTCATAAATAGTTACGGAATTAATCCCTCAATAAATTGAAATTTCCGTCACAGATCATTGAAAAAAATCCGCCAATAGTTTGTGAGGGATTTTAAAATACCTCACTAAATATACTTTAGTGACGTTTATATTCCGTCACTAATTATTGAATATTATTGTATGAATACTCATTTTTATGAGGAATACTTTTTGTCACTAAATTATTTAGCGACGTTTACATTCTGTCACTAAAGAACAACAAAATTCACATATTTAGTGATGTTTACATTCCGTCACTAATCCCTAAAACCTGCATAAAATTATTGAAATTGTAAATTTCCTGCCAAATTTATTTAATATTAAAACTGAATTTTCTAAATCATCTTATTAAAAATAAATCAATCGCAATATGAAACACAAGAAACTGTTTTAGTGAATATCATAAATATCTCCCAAATCAAAACTAATAGTTATAAAAATATGTTCTTAAAATTAAATATTAAAAACCATAGTTTCTCATGAGTCTTAAGTTTCTCTTTAAGGGTGTTATTTTCAGCAGACAAATCAGAAATAACAGTCCTCATTTGTTCATATTCAGATGATGAGATACCGTCAAATGTTGAAGATCTAGATGACTTGTACTTTGCTGTTTCTGGTCCCAAACCATATATACGACCCTTCTTGTCCACTCCTCCAACAACATCTAAAAAGATGTTGTTGTCAGATTGATGACTAGAAACATCATCTCTAGGTGCCTCTTTGTGAGTCCCTCTCAAGAATCTTTTTTTCATACTCATTCTGTAAATAACAATTAAGTACAGAGGAAGAATATAATCATTTAAAACACAAAATAACATAATATTAATAGTTCATAGTAACTCGCACAATTCTAAATTTGCACTAGTATAATCAAGTCGATGCTTATGTGATATATCAAAGTAGAATGATCTTAAAGATGCAATTGGGAAAATCACTAGTTAATATATTTGAATTAGTAAGTTAGTTTTATATTTATTTTAGCATTATATTTTAGATTTCATAATAAATTGAAGCATATGCATAAAGAGTAAATTGATTCAGTTCAAGCATAGTACAAGCATATATGAAAACAATTATTAGCACATGGGAAAACCATGATACACTACAAGCATAATAGTCTGAAGCATATGGAAAAATCATGATCAGCACATGCATCAAAGTAGAATGATCTTAAAGATGAAATTGGGAAAATTAATGATTAATATGTATGAATCAGTAAATTAGTTTTATATTTATTTTAACATTATGTTTTAGATTTCATAATAAATTGAAGCATATGCATAAAGAGTAATTTACCACAACCATCTACGATTTTGTAGAAACCCGTTTGTTTGGGTTACCCTTCACTCTGTGTGTCTTTTGAAATAAGTCCCAACAAATTGGCTTTGTATCTGAGGATTCTTTCCAAAAAGAAAAAAAAAATCAATGTTAATTAAAATTGAAATATTTAACATAACAAAAAAAAAATTAAATTTCTTACTAATCTCTTATAGTGCTCAAACAGAGATAGTAGGCGTTAACGTAGCTTAAATATATATAATGATTAATGTAAGCTAAAAAATTTATCAAAAGATAATAATTAACCATTGGTTTATTTTTGCTATTAGAATATGAAGTTATATATTATAACTTCATATTTTTTTAACATACTGATGGAAGGGTTTATAATTAGAATAGTTTATTTCTACTAAAGTATAACTAGAATATATATTCCATTTTACAGAGACTTCAATTTTCCAATTTTTTAACATGCTTGATATATAATTTAAAATTCTTTTCATACCTTAAACTCTCCAAGCCATAATTCGTTCACTGTTTTAAATTCTTCTTTGCCCTTCATCTCTCCATAGTTTGTCCAAGACACTACAAACTTACGTTTGATAATTTTCACAATCTCTCGTGTAGGCTGAATTGCAGGGTCAAAACTACAAAAAAGTTAAAGAAATTGTAAGATAAAGTCATGATTTATTTATAAATTAAAGGAAGTTATTAAAACTTACGTTTTTTGTGGACCTGGACGAATCCAAACCCTTCCATCAGTGGGGTCCTTACTTCCAATTTGTGGAGGTGAATCAATATGGGATGATGATACATGTGGATCATCACCGGATGCATTAGTTGATGGGACATGTGACGAGCTAGGCGGAGAAGAAATAGGTGGACTAACTGAGGAGGAAATATGAGGGATAGGAGTGGAGCGTTGAAATTGAGAATGTACAGGTCTATGAGATGTGAAAGAATTTGTAGGCTGGTCAACAATAGATGGTGACAAAATAGTGGTACCCCTACCTTTTCAGATGAAACATGAGGGTTAGGGATGGAGTGTTGAAATTGAGAATGTGTGACTCTATGAGATGTGGAAGAGTTTGTAAAATTGAGAATGTGTGACTCTATGAGATGTGGGAGAGTTTGTAATTTAAGAATGTGTGACTCTATGAGAATGTGTGACTCTATTGAGATTGTGCCTTTGGTTTTACAAAGTTACCATTCCTACCAGGTTGAAGCTCAAGTCCCTTACGCTTGCAATGTTTTTTCAAGTCCCTCATAGAGTTTAAAGTATCTTTCGTCTTACCTTTGGTGTCCATTACAGTGAACAAAATATTAAGAAACACATTTCTCTCAATGTGCATTACATCAAGATTGTGTGGGAGAAAATGAGTTTTCCAATATGGAAGTTCCCAAAATATACTTCGTTTTGTCCAATGATGATTTACCCCATAGCTTGGTGGTTTACATTCTTCGGATTCTTCCACACTAGGAAATTTTCTAACTTTTTCCCACACCTCTTGACCACTCAACCTTTGCGGAGGCATTGACATCTCAACTCTACCTTTTGTAAATGCAGTCTTATTCCTCTATACGGGTGATTTAGTGGTAAGAATTGTCGATGATAATCAAACCATGAGGTTTTTTTACTTGATTCAAGGGTGAATGCCTTAGAATTATACCATAGGTTGGAAAGTCATTAATAGTCCACATTACTGTAGCCTTCATCAAAAATTTTTGCTTCAAGGAAACATCATAAGTCATAACTCCATCGTCCCATAACATTTTCAATTCATCTATCAAAGGGCGTAAATACACATCAATATTCCTCTTTGGATTGGATGGGCCAGGAATTATAATGTTTAAGAACATAAGCTCCCTTCTCATGCACATCTAAGGTGGCAAATTATATGGAGTAATAATCACAAACCAACAAGAATAAAGCTTGCTTGTTTTGTCAAATGGAGCAAAGCCATCTGAGCACAAGCCTAATCTAACATTTTGAGGATCTCGAGCAAAGTCATGCCATGTTTCATCAAAGTGTTTCCAAGTTTTTGCATCTGACGGATGAGACAATGAACCATTCTCCCTTTGATTCTCATGACGCCATCTCATTTTGCGAGCTGTTAGTAATGAAGAATACAAACGTTGTAGTCACGGAACAAGTGGGAAGTACCACATATGTTTCCGTGGAACTAATTTATCATGCCCCCGTCTTCTAATATGCTTGTATCGCTCCTCTCCACATATTTTACACTTTTGGAGTGTGTCGTCCTCCTTATAATATAACATACATCCTTTCACACAACATTCAATATTTAAACTTGCCAACCCTAGTTCAGCAATCGATTTTCTTGCTTGATAAAAAACTTTAGGCATACAGTTATTCTCTGGCAAAGCATTTCCCATAAATTGCATCCATCCATTGAAATAACCTTCAGACAACCCATAGTCTGCTTTCAAACTTAATGTTGTTAAAGATGCTAACAACACAGGATATCTATCACAACCATCCCATAAAGGTGAGCGTGATGCTTTCAACATTTCAAATAACTTTTGTGCTTCTTCATTAGGATATTCTTCCATTACATCTTCATCTTCTTGACCTTCTTGCTCTACATAGTTTCCAATTTCTGGTCCTGCAGCATCCATTACTAACTGCTCATAATTATCAAACATTTCCCTCTGACATCTACTTCCATAATATGAATGACTAGCAACCACTAGGGGAATCGGGGGAATCGCCTCACCATGGTTTGTCCAATGATAATAATGACTCATGAATCCTCTCCTGCATAGATGTTCCTTCACTTCTTCTAGATTTCCAAATTTCAAACATTTGCAATTCTTACACGGACATCTAATATTCCCTCCTCCAATGTTATTTTTATCTTGTGCTAAAGCAAACATAATAAACTCATGAACTTCAATATTAAATTCTGCAGTGATATTCTTGTGATAATCTACTCTATTATTCATCCACTTCCTATTTTCAGTTACTTCCATTTCTGAGCATTATTTACACAATGAAGAATTAATCACGGGTCATGTATCGCTTCAATCAAATGATAGAAATAAACTAGAAGCTTTAAGGCTTTGCATATTAAACACATAAATCACTTAATTTATTTAGCTCATCAAATCAAAAGAGAAGCTTATTAAAACTATAAACTTATTTTAATTGAGCAATTCTCACAGTCACAAGGTAGAAGCTTATTAAAACTAGATCAAATTACCTTAACCAAGGTAGGTCAAACAGTAGATGAACTTAGCAAAGAGTCCTTCTAAAATCTCTCTTCAAAACCTACAGCAAGAAGAAACATTAGCATGTTAGCAGTATAAGTAAAACAATAACATCCTCATGTTAGCAAATGAAGGAGGGATCAAATTGTTTATATAAAAAATTATTCGAAATTCCATACTAGAGAAGTCTCAACCAAAGTTAGTTATGCTAACTTTGAAAAGGTTTTAGAAGGTTAGTATAGTTAGTTAGAAAGTTAGGAGAATGTAATCAACCACTCAAGCTAATTAGTGTATATGTAGCATGACTCTTTCACTTGTAACATAATGAAAATATAATTAATGTAAGAAGATCTTGCTAACTAAAATGTCTTGTTACAAACTAAAATGTTATGTGCAGACGCTAACAAAGTATTAGTTAGTAATGGACGTAGCATGGTAGTTAAGTCTAATGGTAATTCTAAGTTCAAGTCCAAATTTATGCCAAATCCCAAGCTAAATTCAGGTATCTTGCTTCTGAAGGTGAGAAAAACACTTAGAAGGGGGGTTGAATAAGGGTTTAGAAATAATTAAGGCAATAAAAATAACACAGTATTTTTATCCTGGTTCGTTGAACTCAACTAATCCAGTCCACCCTACCAAGGTGATTTTCCTTTCTCAACAAGGACTTAATCCACTATATTCAAACAGATCACAGTGTCAACCACTAAGAACAACTGTCTTAGTCTTCTCAAGAAATCCTGACCACAACTTGGTCTTCTTAAGGAACCTTTTACAAATAAATGTAAGCTAACAAGTGTTTAAGATGATTCTAAAAAGTTTTATCACAAACTGTGATTTTTACACTTAGATTAAGAATGAATAAAAACTATTCAGCTTTTGAAATAAATTGTATGAGAGCTTGAAAGTAGTTTTCAATTTGATTTCTCAATAATTCGTCAATTCGTCAACTTTGAAATGTTGTTGAAGATATCCTTTTATAGAGCAGAAAGTCCAAAGCTTGAAGATTGTGCGTAGCAGAATAGCTGTAGCCTTTTTGTCTTCTATTGGCTTTAGCTTTCCCAGAAAAGGAATGTTCAAACAAATCCCTTTTGTCTGTTTTCCTGTGCCATACATGAATAAGGAAAGAGTCGTTTGGAATATGCCAATGGATATATCTTTGAATAATATCTTCTTCAACAAGCTTCTGTCTCAAAGTTATCAACATCAGAGTCTTGAAGTGATCAGAGTTTGATGATATCAGAGTCTTGATGTTATCAGAATTTTGCAGCCAATGTGCTTCAGCATGAATATCAATCAGAGCAGAGTTTGAATATCAGAGCCTCTGTACTTGCAGCGAACAGTACTTCAGAGTCTTCTGAAAACAATGCTTGAAACTCTTCATACAAATTATTCAACTATGCTTCAGAGTCTTCTGCAGCTTCTGCTTCAGATTCTCTTCTAGCAGCGCTCAGAGTCTTCTGGTGACTTGCTTCTGATGCTTCAGAGCTTGCGTAGAGTAATGTTCAGATGCATTTTTGCTTCCATAAGAATATTTAATTTAATATCTGAAACAAAAACACTTGAACAAAATTAGAGTATATATTTTCTTAATACAAAATTTCATTAGTGTTATCATCAAAACATAGAGATAATATTAAACACCAATTTGTGTTCTAACAATCTCCTCCTTTTTGATGATGACAAAAATATAGGAAATTTTGTTCAATAAAAGGATACATATATAACTCCCCCTGAGATAAAGAATCTCCCCCTGAAATGAATACTCTAATAGAAGAAAATACTTTCCTGTTTGCATGAGTATACTTTTCAGATTAAGAGCCTAGTTAGAGTCCTGGTTAGAATATACTTTCCAGAATTAGAGCTTGATTTACTTTCCAGAATTAGAGCCTGGTTTACTTTCCAAAATCAGAGCCTGGTAATCAGAACCTGGTTTGAAATAATATATGGTTTGGGGATTCTCAGGGTAACTTCAATGAATTTTGTCAGATGATACGTTATAGTTCTGAAATACTAAAATTCAATGTTAGTTATAATTTATTATGTCTGAATTCCATTTTTGTAACTGTTTACTTTTGAACAATCAGAATTTCTTTTTCTCTCCCTTTTTGTCATAATCAAAAAGAAAACTTTTTAAGACAGAAAAGAAGAACAGATAAGGAAACAATCAACTTCATTGATAAACAGATATTCATAAAACATTCAGATAAACAACAAAAACAGCAAACAAATGCACAAACATAATAGAAAAAGAACTAAGTTTGGTGAGAGGCTATCATCTTCAGAAGGTCTGTGATCTGAGAAGTAGATTCCTCTTGTCTATACATCCAAGTTTTAATCTCATATGTGGTTTGTTCTTGCTTGACCATCCATGTTCTGATCTCTTTGTTGTTGGCTTCTAGTTGAGCAAACTTTTCTTCTAAGTTTGGATTCTCTTTCTTGATTTCAGAAGATGTAGGATCAGATGCAGATGCAGGAGCTGGAGCACTATCAATGACCATAGCAGATGCAGATGCATTATCTTGAATCATAGAAGTAGATGCTTGTTCCAGAATCATCAGAGCTGAATGATTAGACATAAGAGTTTCTTCAGCAACAACCGCTTCTGGAGGAGTATCTTCAGACATAGGTTCTTCAGCAGGTGCATTGTCCAGAGGAAGAATTGGAGATCTACTCATATTCAGAAAAGTCTGTCTGATAACTTCAGCAAATTTCACCTTTGCATCATTAGAGCAAATGGTGCAAAGATTTGAAGCTACAGTGTTGAATCTTGAGATAAATCTGTTCCAAGTGGCTTCAGAAGCATCTGGATTCACACTAGACAACCACTCCTTCTTTACAGAAGATATCCACATGTTCATTTCCTTTTTGAAGCCATCAAATAACGTACTAACATCCATTCTAGGTTTTGGTTTCAGAAAGTTTTCTAGAGATGGTGTTTTGGTGGTTTCAGATGAGGATGGTATGGAAAAGGAAGGAATGATGAAAAGTGGACTAGGATAAGATGAAAAAGATGTTTGGCCAGATGATGCAGTGATAGCCTGGCGTTTTGGATAAAAGTTTTTAAGTTTGAGTCCAGAGGGAAGGGCATCAGATGGAAAAGGTTTTAATGAAGCAAAGGAAACAAAAGCAGATGATCTTGGTTTTAGTTTTGGAGTGGGTTAAGAAAGGATATGTTCAGATGACATGAATACATCTGGTTGTTTTGGTTCATAGCCACGGAGTGAGGGGGTGAGTTTACTTCTGAGGGTAAATCAAATTCAGAAGAATCAGATGATTCAGAAGAATGACAAGATGTGGAAGAGATATCAAACAGAGTTTTCAAAGGTTGTACATCAAGTGAAGGTGAGATAATACTTAGAAGGGGGGGTTGAATAAGTATGAAAGATTAAAACTTAGAAATAAAAAACTCAAGTATTTTTATCCTGGTTCGTTGAACTCAACTACTCCAGTCCACCCTTCCTAGAGTGATTTGTCTTTCTCAATCAAGGACTTAATCCACTATTAAATCAACTGATTACAATAGTTAACACTTAGAACAACTGTTCAAAGTCTTCTCAAGAACTACTGATCCTAACTGGATCTTCTTAAGGATTACAATCAAATGTAAAATCAATACAAGTGTTTAAGATTGCTTCTATAAAGCTTTATCATAACTGTGATTTTTCACTTAACTATTTAGAACAAAGAAATAAATTCTTAGAATGAATATGAAAGTATGAGAGCTTGAGTGTTTAATTTCTTTTCAATAATAACGTCAACTGAAGAATTTGGTGGAGTCTTGATTTTATAGGCAGTTGATCGAAGGTGAGCTTCACGTTGAGAAGAGTGTCCAAAAGGTCTGAGCCTTTTTGTCTTCACATCAAGTGACCTTTCCTAGAAGAAGAAAGCACAGAAAAATCCTTTTTGTCTGTGTTCTTGTGTCTAGCATAAATAAGGAAAGAGACGTTTGGTTCACTCCAACGGATATAAACTTTGAATATTTCTTCAGTTTTCAGCAAATTCATCAGAGTCTAATTGGGTCAGAGTCTTCTGATGATGATCAGAGTTTTGCTGAATCAGAGTCTTCTGCAGCAGGTGTGCTTTCAGCATGTTTAAGATCAGAGCATATTTGAGACAGAACTTCAGTACTGACAGCTTTAGTACTTTCAGAATCTTCTGTAGAAACTATGCTTTGAAAAACTCTTCATACAAAATTCTTCTTTGCTTCAGATGCTTCTGACTTACTTCAGATTCTTCTGGAGCTTCTGCTTCAGATCCTTCTGGAGGCTACACTCAGAATCTTCTGTTGGCAGCAATCTGAATCTTCTAATGAATGCATCTGGCGCTTCAGAGTCTAGCTAATTTCTTGTGTTCAATTCTGATTTGCTTCTGGAGTGTTAATTCCTTTACTATCTGCAGTAAAAATTCTCAAGCAAATTTTATAGTATATAATTCTTAAATACAAAATTTCATAATAGTTATCATCAAAACATAGAGATATTATTAAGAACCAATCTGTGTTATAACAATCTCCCCCTTTTTTATGATGACAAAAACATCAAAAATTTTGTTTAATTGAAAATATTAAAATTATAACTCCCCCTGAGATGATGAATCTCCCCCTGAGTTAAATACAGATAAGGAATAGAAACTTCCCTTTTGTCTTGAGTAATTTTCAGAGTTAGATCTTGATTGTTCTTTTAACATTTGAAAGTCAGAATGTCTTGCAAATATCAGATTTAGAGTTTGACAATAGTCAAATGATCTGAGAGACTCAGAGTTTC